GCAATATACTACTTGGAAGATTTGTTTACTGCTCTCAATATCACACATCTATGACTGGGCAAAACTTTGCTTTGGCCCCGGTCACACGGACTGGAAAATGTGGGGGGGGAGCATGGCTGTTTGCCCCGGGGTAAACTAACGCGCAACTGTGAGATCAGACGTCCGGTTGCGGTCCCGTCGAGGTCCCGTGGCTAGGGGGGAGGTGCCGATCACACCACAGGAAAAGAAGTGGGGCGGGGTGGCAAACGGGGTTGTTGTTTTTACTTTTTTAAACTGAAGTGTGCGCATGCTCCGTTGGGAAATGACCTGTTTGCAAGGGGACATGGGCGGGCGCCAGATACCACTGGAAACACGATCAGACGCCCACCCTTGCCCCGCGGTTTCCGGAAACTAGTACCTCCGAGGTACTAGTTTTTTACCGAACATCTTCGGAGGGAAACCTCGGTTGAGCCACGGGAGCTCTACACTTCAGATGTGGGGGTGAGATCACACCCGGAAAATCCGCCTATCTTCCGTCTCTCTAGCATGGCTACTGTTCCGTGTGTTGTTGTTGTTGTTGTTCAGTCGCACAGTTGAGTCCGACTCTTCGCGACCCCATGGATCATCTCCCGCCAGGCCCTCCTGTCTTCCGTCGTCCTCTGAAGTTGGCTCAATTTCATGTTCATTGCATCGATGACACTGTCTAACCATCTCATCCTTTGCCGTCCCTGTCTTCTTTGACCTTCAATCTTTCCCAGCATCAGGGTCTTCTCCAGGGAGTGCTCCCTTCTCATTGGGTGGCCAAAGTATTTGAGCTTCAGTTTCATTATCTGGCCTTCCAGGGAACAGTCAGGGTTGATTTCTTTTAGGATTGACTGATTTGATCTTTTTGCAGTCCAAGGGACTCTCAAGAGTCTTCTCCAGCACCATAGTTCAAAAGAATCTATTCTTCGGCACTCGGCCTTCCTTATAGTCCAACTCTCGCAGCCATACATGACTACTGGGAATACCATTGCTTTGACCATGCGGACTTTTGTTGGCAGGGTGATGTCTCTACTTTTTATCATGCTGTTTAGGTTCACCATCGCTTTCCTCCCAAGGAGCAGGCGTCTTTTAATTTCATGGCTGCAGTCACAGTCTGCGGTGATCTGGGATCCCAGGAACGTGAAGTCTGTCATTACTTCCACGACTTCCCCTTCTATTTGCCAAATATCCCAACTGCCACTTGATTGAATCATCTCTTCCAAAACGTCACCTTCCTTTTAGATTCAATCCAGGGGTGATTGCAGGGGTGTCATTCTCAGCTCATAATCCCTGTTGCTGTCCCACTACCAAGAACATTTGATGAGGTCAAATAAATATGTTTCCTTCCTTCCGTGGCTCTGGCACCAATAATTATCTCAAGTGTGTGGTAGATGTTTTTCTCCCCTATAATTATCAGGATCATTGTCATTTATTCCCCCCCCCCAGTCAAAGCTTCTGGGGCTTTCCAGGAGACTTGGGGTGACGGAGGAGTCAGCAATTAAATCTCAACGTCTTTGAAACATCATTGTAACATCACAAAGGCAAGAATAATGCTGCCCACATCCTTTTAAGAGGTGCACTGGTAGAGTAATCTGAGTCACCTTCTTCAAACCAGACAGATGCGAGGGATGATTCTGTAGTAAGTCCCAGAAGCTCCCCTGTGCAGAGAGCTGCTTTGCCATCCACATGGCACAATCAGTGAAGTTGCTCCCTCATATGGCTTGCATAGTACGAACGATGATATGCATTGGAAACAGTCCTCCTCCAATTCGACATCAGTGGTTCCAGCCAGGTGATATCCTCACTGGTTGCATTGTAACTCATATTGGGTATGTTTTCCGCAAGCTCTCCTTTGAAATACACCCTTTTGATGAAGATACTGACGTGCCAATGTAAGGAACTAATTTCTCCCCTATGGAAATGTGGATGATGTCTGGTTTGAGTGATTCTGTATGTCTGTAGAAGTGAGCATGGCTTTTGAAGCATTCCAAATTGGGTATGCTTAGATTTTTCCCACATTGTATCAGGACCTCAAGGATCATAACCTTTTTGTAATGAGACCGCACTTCCCAGGTTATAGTAGGTTTGCATTAAGTCATCTGAGTTTATAAAGCACATGGAGGAAAGAAAATCTTTTCTATTACTGTGCTATATGTGCATTAGGCAAAGGTCAATATTGGCAAAGGGGTGGTAAGCCCTGAAAAGGAGATAATGATGAGTGTGACAACTTTTGAAAAAATCGGTATGGTGAGGGTGCAAAAATCTGAATTATGTGAGTAGCTTGTGATATAGATCAGATATGGTTGAAGGATGTATGCCTTCTTAATGAATACTTTTCCTTTCCAGAATGTAGAAAATTTTATATGAATACAGATGTGATGGCCTGGAGGGGAAAATAGTGGGGGGAAATGAGGGGGGTCCCTTTTTTAACCTAAGAACTTCTTTCAATTTTCCCAATGGAAAGACTGGACATTTGGGAGGGGGTGAACGAGATGTGCTTTAAGAGAAAGCACTCAGATAGATAGAAAGAATTTTTCCATGCTGTTAATGATAGCAACACTTTGAATCATTTGATGAAATGGACTGGCAATATACAGGACACACCAAGTGAAATACTTGTCACAGGAAGTATAACAAACTCGCAGAGTTTGCTGACATTGAGGCTGCTGCTTTAGGGAGCTTTAAAAGGGGATCAGATTAATTCACTAAGGACAAAATTCTGAAGCTACTGAAAGGAAATCTCCAGGTTTCCAATTGGCATGCCTTTGAATATAGTTGCTATTGGCAGTGGGCATTGGAAGATACTCTTGTTGATATCCTTTCTTGAGAGTTTCTGAGTAGCATCAGCCTGTGAGAAATGAAAGGTGGATCAATTGGTGAGATCCAGTAGAAAGATTACAGGATAGTTTATGCAATATTGTTCTTCATTCATTACCAAATTATCCTGTGAGAAAGTGACTTTTCTTGCAGTTTGGCCACAAAGTTCTACCAGCATATCCTGGCCTTGGTGTTTGCAGTCAAGGAGGTCAATGACAATCCCAACATCTTGCCCAATGTCACTCTTGGCTTCCACATCCATGACTCTTCAACTGATCCCAGATGGACTTACCGAACCACGCTGGACCTGCTCTTCAAATCACCTCAATTTGTTCCCAGCTATAGATGTGGCATCCAGAGAAATTTGATTGGAGTAATTGGAGGACTCAGCAGTGAAACCTCATCACAAATGGCAGACATCTTAAGGCTTCAGAAGATCCCACAGGTAGAATCAGTGCATGGGAACTATAATGGCTTCCCCTAGGGGCAGGCAAAAGAAGGAAGGAATCACTACCATAACAATGTTGGCCAGTGATCTGGATAAGGCATATGTTAAAAGTAAATGAACCTGGAGAGTTAGACTGTCCCAGTGCATCTTTATTTTGCTTGCAATCACCATAGAGTAGGTGGAGAGGAGTTCAATGTGCCTCTGTCTCCAGAGCCCATTACACTGAGAGTGGAGATAAAGTAGGAAGCAGCTATACAGAAAACATTACTAAAGGCTGTCAAACAGCATAGCCTGGGGGAGGGGGGTCTTCATGGCTATCAGAATTAAGCTTGCCAGCCCCCAGGTCTAAGCATGGAATCCCCTGGTTTCAGGGTCTTCTCCCTGCTGCAGACCAGCTGGCCAGTAGGGGAAACCCCCCTAAATAGGGGCATTGCCGTGAGATGTTTCCAAAATGATGACATCACTCAGAAGTGAAATCATCACATCAGGGATGTCGCAAGGGAACACTCTGGTATTCAGACAAACTCTATGGTTCGAGGACGAAAAAACATAGTTTCACCCAAATACCAAAGTATTCCCTTGTGACATCCCTGATGCGATGGTGTCACTTCCGAGTGATGTCATCGGGTTGGGGACATTGTGTGACATCCCTGCCCACCCCTGGAATGCCCTCCAAATCTCCTTGCCAGAGTGATGAGGTGATCTGGCAACCCTAATCAAAATTGTTTGGATGACAACTACAATTATCACATGTTGAAAACTGTACAACTGTAGACATGAACAATGAATGTGAATAAAAGTGAACTTGTGGTCACTACTACAGATGTATTTGGAATCTCTGGTATGTGTCCACATAGTATAAAAATGAGCAGTCATGCTCATGACAACTTGTACAATGAATGAACATACAAGCTAGGTGCAATTTATTTAAGAAGTGCATACTGTTTCTGTTTGTAAAGGTTCATAATGTGGAACAGGTAGCTTTGAATCCAGTAGCATCAAAAAGATTTTTGGCATATGAGCTTGCGAGAGGTGCCTTCGTCAGATGTGGAACAGGGATGTCCCTACCAAAATCTGCCTTTTCTGCACTTTCCTAGTCCCTCCATCCTGCTCTAGATGGAATGGCCACGGGTTTCAAAGGACTAATGCTAAAAGCAGGACGAGACATAACAATATTTTTCGCTGCTTCATTTTGATGGAAAGGTTAAATATTTTGGATACTGTAGTTGTATTTTTATTGTTCCATGCAAGTTATTTATTTATTTATTTATTTATTTATAAGTATTTTTACCCCGCCCTACCCCGCAAGCGGGCTCAGGGCGGCTTACAAGGGGCATAAGCCCATACATAAAACCAGTAAAACCATAACTTTTATAACAACAGTACAATTCAACAATAAACAATAAAGTGCTTCAGTTTGGCAAGATGGTCTTAGTTGTTCTTATGATGACTTCCAGCAGCCCTCAGTTTGGGGTATCGCTGTCTACCAGAAAGTCCGAACCCGTCCATTGTTCTTATTGCCAGGTAGATCTTATACCTCCAGATTATTCGGGGCTGTCCAGACCCTGATGGTATTACCACCGTTGGTTACCATGAAGATACTACGTAATCAAAAGATGTGGTAAAATGTAAGAAAGTTTGTGGATAATTATGAATGAAGAGGTCCTCCTATTCTCCTATTCCCTCTCTCAAATAATTTAAAAAGATTTCATATGGCTCATTTGAACCAGCGATGGGTGATCCAACTGATTTCCCTCCCTTTTACCGCATGGTCCCCAATGAAGGCCTTCAATATGTGGGAATCATCCAGCTGCTTCTTCATTTCAGGTGGAAATGGGTTGGGCTCATCACTACAGACAACCAAGCTGGAGACCATTTCTTACAGACACTGGAGCCAGTGCTTTCCAAGAATGGAATCTGTTCAGCCTTTACAGAAAGGATAAAAAGAAAATTCGATTTCGATAGACTAAATGAACTTTCCCAATACTTGAATGGTAATCCGACAGGTTTTTTGAACAGCAGAGCCAATGCAATCATTGTATACGGTGAAACGGCAACCTTTATGTCACTGGCAATTATCATATGGATGTCCAAAATGGTAATGGATTATCAAAGCGGCATGATAGCCAACACAGCCTATGCAGCAAAGGTGTGGATTATGACAGCCCAGATTGATTTTGCATTACATGCTGCGCAAGCAAGTTTTGGTATACAAATATTCCATGGGGCTCTTTCCTTTGCCATTCACTCCAAGGACGTCTTAGGCTTCCATCAACTCCCGGATTCCAATACTCCAGCTGAGGTCAGCGAAACATGCACCGGAGAGGAGAAACTTGACAAAGTTGAGACACCATTTTTTGAAAGGAGCATGACTGGACACAGCTACAGTATCTATAATGCTGTCTATGCTCTGGCACATGCCTTGCATATGAAGTACACATCTAGAGCCAAGCACAGGGAAATGGATTCCTGGGACAGCCTGACTCCTCTAAATGCACAGCCTTGGAAGGTAATTACTCCTAACTGAAAAGAGTCCCCTTCCATGACCTGGGTTTAATATGTTGATATGGCAGGCAATGACTGGCACACCACTGACCATGAAATCTTGGTAGAACATGGGTTCTCATGGGTTCTCATCTCTCAGATCCTCTCCTCTCAAACCTTCTCAAATTCCCTCCCCTCCTTGGCAGCTACGGATGCAGCACAATCTCAAAATTTATAACCTTATATGTTCTTTCAACACTACCAACACTACCAATGTATGAAGGCTGCCTAAATCACACCACACTCCTGTCTTATGTCTGGTACTATTTGATCTAGCCCAATCTCATAAGATCTTGGAAGCTAAGCAGGGTCAGCCTTGGCTAGTATTTGGAAGTGCGACTCTCAAGGAATTCCAGGGCTGTAATGCAGAGACAGGTGATGGCAAACCACCTCTGAAATGTCTCTTGCTGTAAAAACAACTCTAGTTTGCCACTTGGTGGTGCATAACACTAAAGGAGCTAGAACCTCTGGCTGCCAGACAAATTTAGGATCTCCTGGCTATTCTACACACAATGCCATACTACTACTGCTGCTGCTGCTGCTACTACTACTACTATTACTACTACTACTACTACTACTACTACTACTATTATTATTATTATTATTATTATTATTATTATTACTCTCTCTTTCAACCAAGTTCCACACATTGCTTCGAAGGGTCTCATTCAACAACAGTGCTGGAGATGAAATTACATTTAATGATCATGGAGAACTAGAAGGTGGATTTGATATTACCAACTTGATTACTTTCTCAAATAACTCCTATGTCAGAGTCAAGGTTGGGAGGCTGAATCCTCGGGTTCCTGCCAGTCAAACATTAATCCTAGAAGAGGACAGAATTAACTGGCACACAGGCCTCTCTCAGGTGAGAAAACAACTTCACACTTTCTCAGATGCCAAAAGGTTATGGGCATTTACTTAAACAGATTGTGAATGGGTTTAAGGAGAACTAATGGACTCTCCACCCCCCAGTATGTGGAATGGTATAATATAGCTAGATCTCATCTGATCTTGGAAGCTAAGTGGGGTTGGTACTTGGATGGGAGACTACTAAGAAAGGCCCTTTAGAGAAGATAATGGCAAACTGCCTCTGCTTCTCACTTGCCTTGAAAGCCCCTTTCTGGAGTCTCCAGAACTCAGTTGCGAGTTGACAGCACATATGTACATAATGGACCCCCTTCCTCATCATGAATTAATGTTTTGGAGCTTTATATGGAAAATGTCTCTCCCAAAAAATGTGTGTGCTGTAAAATCACAGATGTTACAATCCTGTATCACCAGACTTCTTGTTCATAACTTGCACATCAATTCCAAATTCCCCCAAGTATCTTCTGAAGTCCAAATCTTTCCTTTGCTCGAAGACAGATGCCTCCTTTTTCTGTGTGTAATGACAACTGCAAGCCTGGGTACAGCAAAGAAAGGAAGGAAGGAGAGAAATTTTGCTGCTACAATTGTGTTTGCTGTCCAGAGGGAAAGATGACAAACCAGGAGGGTAGGTAATGCAGTATTGATGATATTGTTCCTGTCAATTAGCCAGATGGGTAAGTGGGACTGGAGGCCTGAGGAGCAGAAACATTCAATGCACTTGGAAGAATACAAAAAAAACAATGAAACCAGCTTTGCTGTCTATGCTGTCTATGCTATGCTGGTTTCCCTTTTTGTTGCTGACCTGCAGTTCAGCCCTCATGCTCTTCCTGATGGTCCCCTGTCCTCCAAAAGCAGCCTTTCAAGGAGCTCACTGGATGGCTGTGGGAAAAGCAAAGCAAGAGAAGTTCCTTCTGCTAATAGAAACTGGACTTCTTATGCAACCCATTTATTCTCATGATGCATATTTGAATACTTCCTTAGGAGAAAATATGGGAACCTTCAAGAAATGTCAAATCAGAGTTTTTATATGCATGACACCTACACGTGTAACATGTTTTCCAGACATGAATAAACGGATTTTGGCAATCTAATTCAATGTGGTACCTGCTGGTACCTTTCTTGGAACGTGCCTAGTGTATACAGAAAATAGACAAGGCCAGGCTGGGGACCTCTGTGCAGATTTAAATAGATATATATATATTTCACAGTAGTGGCTGCCACCACTGTATAACTTTTATTTTCTCTCACTGCCCTTAACCACTGCGTTTTTAAAAAAATCTATCTCCCCTGTACTTTGGCTTCCTCTGTCTGTGTATATATGTGTGAGAGAAAGAGACAGAAAGATGGAACAAAGAGAGTTTGATTCCTCAGTGAACAGAACTTCTGCCTGAAATGTTGAAGAGCTGCTATCAGACTTATATACAGCCTCTCTCCCTGGTATTTTGTGATTGGCTCTGCCTCCTGCAACAGCCTTTTTGTATTTGGTTCCACCTTCTGTGGCAGCCATTTTGTGGTTGTGCCCATGACAGAATTCCAAAAGTATCTGCAGGCTGAAAAGGGTTGGGGACCCCTGATCTAATGGGACAATGAATGCTCCTTTATTTTGGATGTGTAAGGAAACAGTGCAGTGTGGGAATGAATAACCTAAGAAAAGAAACTTCCAAGTGGGAATAATTCAGCAGAATTAATTTCTCCTGTAAAGGAAAATACTTTTTTGCAAGAGATAAAGAAGCATCCTGTTAGCCAAATTGCTTTATTTACAGCAATTGGCAATTTATAAATGGGTCCTTGCCAACTATACCAAGGTCCTGTTCCCACCAAGGGTTACCAGAGAAGGATAACGAGGCTGTTGTTGTTAAAATAAATGTCTTACTTAAAGAATAAATCTCATACAAACAATACTGATGCACTGGGCCAGGTGAATGGTCCTTACCTTTTATAGTGGGTCCATTAGATGGGTGGTAACTGTTCCAACCTCTGGACCCACCTATCTGTTAGTCCGTCCCAAAAACAATCCTATTGGTTACCTATTGGAGTGAGAGGTTACCTATAAGGAGTGGCCAATATTGTAATCTAAAACCTTACTCAAAGGATGGCATCTGGGCAGGTGTGAAGACCTTGGCGTCAGAATGCTCCATTGTGGTGTTGATGAAGCTGGCCATTCTATTGATAACCAAATGTCAATTTGGCAGGAAATACCAAAGCAGGAACAAAGCAGTTGATGGGTGGTATGTGACCACAAACAGTTCAGCAATGGGGGCTGTCTCTGCTCAAGTTGTTGTTTCTTACTGCTCACAATAATGGAGGTGTGTGCTTCTTCACCAGGCTGTTAACTGTATAGCTGAAACCTTATTTACACTTGTAAGGCTTGTGCAGGCACCTTATATGTATTACATCACAACAGGTGACTTAAAGTGTACAGTTCTCTGAGCCTGTGTGAGTGCGCAGTCCATTGTGTGTAGCAATAAATATAGTCCATAAAGCAAAATATCAAGTTCATTCTCTAACAATCCATCCAGAGCCCATAATGAGAGGATTCATGCTACCATTTCAAAACATGTGCAAAAGGGTTGGGTGTTACTGTGTACGGGCATTGAGGGGGGGGGGGGGTCCAAGGAGGAAACACAGGTTCAATGCCTAGGATTGCTTGTTAATTCGGGACAGGTTAGATATGTTTATGAAACTATTTGAACCAAAGTACATATTATCTTATGACAAAGTTGTTACTTGTTCCATGTTGAAGACACATAAATCAGTCTATCTTCTTCTTTCAGACATGGATTACTGCATCATGTGCCCAGAAAGCCACTATCCAAATGAGGGTCGAAATTACTGCATTCCAAAGATTCCAAACTTCCTGTCCTTCTCAGAACCACTGAGCATAATCTTAGTTATTCTGGCTCTTTTCTTTTCTCTGACTACAGCTCTGATGCTTGGCATCTTGATTCAGTATCGGGAGACTCCCATAGTCAGAGCCAACAACCGGAGCCTCGCCTACCTTCTCCTCATCTCTCTCCTTCTTTGCTTCCTCTGTTCTTTGCTTTTCATCGGACAGCCAAACAAGGTTACCTGCCTCCTCCGGCAAGCAACTTTTGGCATCATCTTCTCAGTGGCTGTTTCTTCTGTCTTGGCAAAAACCATTACTGTGGTGGTGGCTTTCATAGCCTTCAAGCCAGGAAATATTTTCCAAAAATGGCTAGGGAAAGGATTGGCTCATTCCATTGTCATTTCCTGCTCTGTTCTTCAAGTTGGTATTTGTGCTATTTGGTTGGGCCTTTCTCCTCCATTCCCAGATCTGGACATGCATTCACTGGCTACTGAAATCATAGTGCAATGTAACGAAGGATCGGTCACCATGTTTTACTGTGTTTTGGGCTACATGGGTTTACTGGCCTCAGTCAGTTTCATTGTGGCTTTCCTAGCTAGAAAGTTACCTGATAGTTTTAATGAAGCCAAGTCCATCACCTTCAGCATGTTGGTCTTTTGCAGTGTTTGGCTGTCCTTTGTCCCCACATACCTGAGCACCAGAGGAAAAAACATGGTGGCTGTGGAGATCTTCTCCATCTTGACCTCCAGTGCAGGGCTCCTGGGCTGCATCTTTTTGCCCAAATGCTTTGTCATTATACTGAGACCAGAGATGAACAGTAGAAATCAGCTGATCAGGAAAAATCACTCAAGTATGCAATAAGCAATCAACTAGGGATGTGCATTCAGACCATTCCAGTCTGAATTTATACCCCTAAAATACCAAGGGGGTATTCTTTAGGTAGATTCAGATGATAGTGGGGGTTCTTGGGAATACTGGTATCCAAGTCCAATAAATTACCAGAAATATTTGGGAATACCTGGGAATATCCAGGGTGGCAATTTTGACTATCCCAGGAATGGGGTTCCCCCCCCTCCATTTAACATGTTTCCTAGGCAAGAGGAGGGAGGTTGACAGAGGCATCTCTCCCAGACAGATGGGATCCCACATTAGGTGGAGAACTAGAACTGTCTCCCTATTTACAGCAATTATCTCATAGTTCATAGCTTTCTGAACAAGGGCAAAGAGGATTAATTCTGCTACCAGCTTCTTGCTTATATTTTTCCTGCCAGAGAAGAACCGTTTCTTTTTTTTATGTCAGAACTAGTTTGCACTTTGTTTTACCACACTATTTAAAATATTATTTCAACATTTTCAGGTTTCTTAAAATTTTGCCTGTAGGTTGTGGCTGAGAACTTTGATTTGATTCTGATTCTTTTTTAAAAATTGTGCTATTAGGGGTTAAAAGGGCTTGTGCTGTTTTGTTGGGGGGTCTCTTCTCTCAGCTTCTTTTAGAATTTTTAACTGCTATGTACCTTGATTTTTGAAGAATTTGTGCTTTGGGGAGGGATCCAAATTGTTGCAATTTTTAAAAGTTTGTCATTTGGCCTTCTTCTGGTTCTGGTTTTATAGTTTTTTATACTTGTTTTAAGGATATTTATATATCTGTATTGTGGGGGGGTTTTTGGGAAGAGGTTTTTGGGGGTTTGGGGGTGGTCCTGTTAATTTTGAAAACTGAAATGTTCTGAAGGAAATATCTGGTTCTGTTTCAATAACATTTAATAGTTTTATTGAATAAATGTTTAATTGGTTTCCCACAAACAAACAACAACACCCAACATACAAATAAAAATGAGAGCTTGGCACCCTATATTGTGTCCAATTCACATCTCCTGTGTAGCTCAAAAAATACCATAACCCATGAACTATAAGTGACCAACAGGATATTGGTAAATTCATATGACAGTTATCTAAGCATTCCACCATAATTTTCCTTTAATAAAACAAAATCAAAAGCGTTTCCAGTCTTTCCAGCTATTCTAACCTGTGAAAAAATATATTCCCTTTTTAGTTTCCCTTGCGAGGCACACATACCTGTTTTTCACGCTAACTTACTGTTTTGTTATTAATGAAAATAAACATTTGGATTATTTTTTGTGGTTTAATTCCATCTATTAGTCTATATTTTAGTAGACTTTCTACCCTATAAACTCATATAGCTTAATTTCTTAACTATATAGGCCCTTCTAGTTAATTACTCTCTATTATAACAAATTAACTTTCTGCATCAAAGCACGTACTTAAATTTATTTTTGTAAGAGTACTAATAAATTAAACATTCAGGATCCTTCTTTAAAGTTTAGATTCACCTATTGTTCTATCTTCCCCGATTACTATAACCAATGAACTAATACCATTTGCAACCATAAGTGACCAACAAGACATTGATAAATTCATATGACAGTTATCTAAGCCTTCCACCTTTAATAAAACAAAATCAAAAGCCCTTTCAGCCTTTCCAACTATTCCAACCTTTGATAAAATACATTCCCTTTTTGGTTTCCCTTGCTAAGCACACATCCCCATCTGTTTTTCACACTCACTCGCTATTTGGCTATTAATGCAAATATTTTTTTTCTTTGTAGTTAAATTCCATTTATTACTCTATATTTTGGTACACTTTCTACCCTATAAGCTCATAAAGCTTAATTTCTTAACTATATAGGCCCTTCTAGTTATATATATTTGGTTAGGGTACTAATAAATTAAATATTCAGGATCCTTCCTTAAGGTTTAGTTTCACCTATTGAAGTGTATCCAGCCCTGGCAGGGCCAGGCTTGTCCGGACTTGCCCAGGGATCAAACCTGAAGCTTCGCTCCTAAAGACAATGGGCCAGAAGGATCCTAGCCGGCCCTGTCAGTGGGCTAGGTCCCAAACCGTGAGGCCAATAGGTCTCTCGGTTACTTTAAATAGCCTATTGGGGAGTGGGGGTGTGTGTTTTGGTGGTGGGTTCTGAGGGAATATAAACCGGCCTGCGAGCCGGCCCCAGTGTCTTGTTCCTGACTAATAAAAAGTATGCTTAGCTGAAATCACTCTCCGTTTGTGTACATTTCACCTATTGTTCTATCTTTCCCGATTTCCTCAAAATGCTTACAATATCACCTCTCTCAGTTTAGTTTCTTAACAGTCAAAATCATTCTGTTTATTTACATATTGATAAACACTAAGTCATTCTATTTGATTGTTCTTTAACAAACCCATCCTTTAAATAAAGAGGGTGAAATTCCATAATAACCTTTTATAGATAAATCTTTTTTTTTCTTTTTTGTCACGTATCTTCTTTTCAATAAGATCTTCTTTATGCCTTTTCCCCTTGTATACTGCAAAAGATTTGTTGAAAGTTGGCAGTCTGAAGCTTAAGTTGATGGTTAAATGCATATTTTGTTTCATCTTTCCATTCTGAGGTAAAATTGTAGTTGCCTTAGATGAATTTTTATATCTGTATCTTTCTCCATTATAAACCTCGTAAGTTTGCTTTGAGCTTGGCAGTGTTTGATTTGACATCACACCTGATTGTTTATTTTTTGTGCTTTTTTCTTTCTGAGATTACTTAAATTTAAGGCCCCGGTCACACGGGCAGGAAACTGCAGAGGAGAAGCGTGCCTGTTTGCCCTGGGGCAAACTACTGCGCAGTTACGCGATCAGACCTCCTGTGGAGGTCCTGTGGAGGTACCGTGGAGGTTCCATGGCAAGGGAGAGATGCCGATCACAGGACAAGCCGGTGCGCAACGAAGAAGCGCGCGCCGCGGCAAACTGTTTTTTATTTTTGTGTACATGACAAATGCGCATGCTCCGTTGGGTGCGCGTGCGCATCCACAGAGACTTGGACAAAAAAAAAACACCTTATTTGCAAGGGGACATGGGCGGGCGCCGGATGCCTCCGGAAACGCGATCAGACGCCCGCCCTTGCCCCGCAGTTTCTGGAAACTAGTACCTCCAAGGTACTAGTTTTTTGCCACGCAGTTTCAGCGGGAAGCCTCGGTTGAGCCACGGGAGTGCTACGCTTCCCAGATGTGCTGGTGAGATCGCGCCCGGAAACTCCGGCTGTTTTCCGTCTCACTTGTGTGGCTTCTGTTACGTGTGACCGCAGCCTAACATATTTATTTGCTTCTGTATGTAGTAGTCTTTTTAATTTTGAAGACCTTACTTCCCTAATAAGTCTAGCTTCCTTTCTTACCATGGAAATCTTTTTATGGAAGATCTGGCTCTGTCTTGGTATAACATCCTCTTGTTTGCACTTTTGTTTTTTATCTCTCAAAATTTGGTAGGGCAGAGTATCAGCATTATTTGTATGTTTCTTTAGAGTAGATGGACTTTCATCATATAATTCAGCACAAGTCTCTTTGACTGCTGACTTAATTGTATCGACAATCAAGAATTTGAGATCGTCCCATGAAAACTGGGTGACACTTTCCTCGACATAATTATCTATTTTCGCAGCCTCTGGCTCATTTTCAACTTGGAAATACATTTTTTTTAGCACTGTCTGAAGTCCCCATATGTAAGAGAAAATGCAAAAGAAAAAAATTTCCCGTTAGACATTTAGGAACCAAACCACATCACTTAGAAATTAAAAGTCCAGTATTTTTAAACATATTAACCACCAAGAGTCTCTAGTGAAATCAGATACTTGTTATAGTGCTATGGCCAAAAGTTATCTTGTGCAAAACCCCAGGTTTTTTTAATTCTATATTTTCTTCTTTTTATATTAGAACTCCCAAACATATTCAGTTTATACTTCAGTAGCTTATGATAGAATGGTCAGGTGGTAGTATTTATAGTCCCCCTTTACTTCCATTTGTGTATGGTGGGGTTGTTGTTTTTTGGGTGTGTTTTTAAAAGAACTTTATCTCTGGGACTTTTCCAGCTGTTTACTTAAAGCAGAGGGGGAGAAATATCAAGAGAAAAAGACAAAAACAATTGAGAGTGTTGCAATAATATCTGCTTAAAAATATTCAGTCCAAAAAAAAAAAACACCCGCACATCTTCACAAGGCAAAAAACAAATAGACAATGAAACGAAGACACGTCTTCTTTAAGTTTTCCAAGATAGGCAAAGTAGCTAATTGCCAGAGTCTATAGCTGGGAGGGTGAGAAAACAACGTCCCGCTTACGATTTATGTGTCTTAGGCAGTGTAGGGCTTCACACCCATGAATTTTTAGAAGCAAAATTTGTTATTGTTAGAAAGTTCATTGACCTGTTGTCACTTAAGAATTCTGGAAGAGAAGTCTTCTGTTACGACATGTTTCCCGCTCACCTCACCCTCAGTCTGGTAGCGACAGCTGTGGCTCTGGGAGGAGCCTCTAATCTGCTTGGAGGTTAAGGAAGACTGGTTTCCCCTGCTGTTGCCACAAGTCTAGGAGTACCAATTGCATTCCCATTCACCCTGCTCTCCTCCAGAAAAACTGGGAGGGTCTCAAGAGACCTGAGACCCTTATCCATACCAAGAAAAGCCAGAGCGACGAGAGAGCGATTCTCCGCCGCGTCCACCATGCCACACTGCAATCGGAAGTCTCTCCCAAATAACATTTAATAGTTAAATGTAGGTGACGGGTTAGGCATTAAAAACACAAAATAAATTTCAGCTTACATTTCAGTCAGCATTCTTTTAAAAAAGACATTAGTTGGGATTCCAAAATAATAAGTCAATGGGTCTTGGAGGGCTTTTTGGTAGGGTGTTGTTTTTTTTAACTGATTGGAGCATTGGGTTTACTGTCTAAAAAATTATTAGGCTGAACTGGGCTTCAAAACAATTGAAGCTAAGTGGGGTTTTTTGTTGTTCGTTTGTTTTGTTTTTAAATAGGAGTTTGGTTAATCTTTAGTCATTCAAAAAACTCGTCAGGTAAGATGCCTATTTTCACTCACTCAGAGGTCGAGTTCAAACTGGCAGTTTGCCCCAATATAGCCGCGTGTGAAAAACGTTTCACAGCTGGATTAAAGGGGCCATTCACACAGGCACATCTGTCTGGCATTCCCCACCTGTACTCGACCCATCTTGTAACACTTCACTCTTGAGTTTAAAAGTTACCTGGTGAAAGTGGTAGCAAACCCTGGAAATCGCAATTATTCCATGTCCATCCCGCACCAACAAAGTGTGAACCAATTTGAGACATGTAATTTGCCACAGAGAGACAGACAGACTAACAGAAGGATGGATGGATGGATGGATGGAGGGATGGATGGATGGATGGATGGATGGATGGATGGATGGATGCACAGATGATGGACAGATGGGCAAATGGGTGAATGGATGGATGAACAGACGGATGAACAGACAATGCTGAACAGAAGGATAGATGAATTCTTTCATCAGTATAGATACATTTATTGAGATATATGTCAGAGTGATAGAGGTAGCAAGCAGTTACTATAGATAAGTTTGATCTGTTTGTCAGACCTAGCTGTCATGCTAGTAATCATGTAATTACAGCCAGGTGTTTTCTAGCAGGTGTTGCTCTTTCAGAGCTTGTTAGAGCTAGTGATTACATCACCTTGTTAGAGATTGGCTGGGGTTTAGCATGATAGCTATCAGCTTAGTAAGCTGGAGGGGACTCAGTTCTCATAGACTAAGGCATGACATGCTGTTCAATAGCCTGCAAATATCTCTGTATATATTCACCTTTATAACTATATAAACTCTCTGTGCACCTTCATAACTGGTCAGTCTCCCGCTTCTTATTTACAACACCCAATAACATTGTCCAATCTTATACATTGTTTTTCTGTGGTGGGATGGTGAACACTCCATTCAGTAGTCATGAACACATGGAACTCTCTTATACTGAGTCAGACCAGTGGTCCATTAAAGTCAGTATCATCTACTCAGATTGTCAGCAGCTCCCCAGGGTCTCCGACAGAGGTCTTTCACATCACCTCCTACCTAGTCCTTTTAACTGGAGATGCATGGATTGAACTTGGGACCTTCTGTATGCCAAGCAGATGCTCTGCCATTGAGCCACAGCTCCTCCCTCATGGCTCTTTTGGAGAATGGTAATAGTGTGTGTGCATCCACATAAACTCTGGAGTGAGTCCCAGTGCCCTAGGAGGTCTTATCATGAATTGCTATGCAAAGTTTGATTGGAGTCCAATAGCAACAAGAATTCTGATGTATAAGCTTTCAAGAGTCAAAGCTCCCTTCATCAGATACAAGAGCATTGACACTCAAAAGCTTATAACCCAAAATTCTGCTACAGACCAACACTGTACTCCCTGAAACTATTTTCATGAGCAAAGCTTCAAAGTCTATCCCACCTTCCCAAAACTGAATCATGTTTGAGAAGGCCAGCAGATATCCTGTGAATAAATGGTTTCTTCAACTGTATTTGACACTCAAGATAAGAAGTTGGTGTGGTATGAATACTGTGAAGCTTTTTTTGGCACTCACTTCCTTTATCACCCCAGTGCAGAAAGATCTGCCCTGCCTACTTCTCTGTTTCCAGACAAAACTCAAAGTCCTAGTTCTTGTTTTCAACTCCTAGCTTGGAGTTGGAGGATTTCAAGGACCATCTCCTCCCACAGTGTTCATTCGATCTATTTATTTGCCTCCCCCCCACCATCAGGATAATGAGACAGACAACAGTTTGGAAGTAAACAAGGGCCACTTTATTAACTATTTAACATTTCTTCATCACAGTTCAGGTCTTCCTGTTCTCTGTACCACTACTCGCCTGACACCTGTCCTACTATCAGTTAGGCACAAGGCCAAAACAATGCCCAAACTGTTAATTGAAAGGTTGATCTTGCAACAAGTGGTGAAGAAACATTCTGAATAAACAGACAGATTTATCCAAAGAGGAGTTATTCAATGTCTTTGCATTGTTACTTCCCTTCATGGATGGTCATAGCCTCTGATAGTTTGAGCTCACCATTCTTGTTGCTATTGTTGCTATATATATTTATATATATATAAATTAAAAAGCTGGGATGAGATCAGACAAATATTTTCTCTTCACTATTTCTGCAGCTAATTACCCCAGAATATTATCAATCATCTTCCAGAGGAGATTATCTCCACTATAATTACCAGAATCACTGTCATTTCTTCAACCAGTCAAATAGCTTTCAAGAAGGAAACATAACACAAATCTGAAATGAAATCTCAAAATTCTGGTTATAAATGTTTCCGATGAGCTATTCACTGCTACAATAAGGGATGAGAGAGAGGTAGTTTTCATAACACTACTCAATATGTCTCGAGTAGCATACAAAGCAGACAGATTGGACATGAAAGATAAGGTTCATACGTGTACACATTACAAGTGTGTTGGAAAAGACAGGAGCCATCTGAGTTCTCTTCTTGAAACCAGGCTGAAGCTAATGACAATGCTATAGAGATGCAGGAGAGTCCATGTGGAGAGAGGCTTTTTTGATCGCACATGGCAGAAGCTGTGATGTTGCTGCTGATACCGATGCTTCTTCCTCATGTATATAGTATGAAGTGCCCTGGAAACAACCCTCCTCAGATTCCACATCAGTGGTATCAGCCAGGTGAAATCTTGATTGGTGGAATTCTAACTCTTATTGGTTGTGTTTCCCAAAACTTTCCATTTGAGCAGCACTCCGACCAGGATTATCAATGTTATCCAATGTAAGGGAATCATTGTTCCTGTAATGTAGAGATGATGATGACGTCTGATTTTATTTGAGCAAATCTGTATATTTGCATTTTTATTAATAATGCATGGACACTCTGTGGCTCCCCAAATGAAGTACCTAGGCTCCAAGACTAAAGATTATGCATACACCAGGAACAGGAGGCATTTTTTTCATTAATAATTTGTGAACAGATTGCACTCTTTTTGGTTATATCATTTATGCCCTGAGCTTTCCCATATTAGAAAGTGTATAGAAGGATGTACATATTTTTAAAATTGTGCTAAATATACATCCAACTACAGGTTACTTAAAAAAAAAAGTCAGTTCTATACAGGGATGCCAAGACTAGAAAATAAAGTGACGAGGAGGGACCTAACATTTGAAACATATAGAAATTTCTGAGAAAATGTCAGTGTGATGAATATACACAAATATTTGTATGACACAAGACAAAGGCTTGTGATGTTTATCAGTACACGCTGAATCAAGTGTGGCATCAGTGGCCATACATTTTTGTGCCTCCAGTTAAATACCTTTTGTATTCTAGGCAAAAGACATATAAAAGAAGATGTGAAAGAGATTATGCATAGTTTGGAGAAAGCAGAATGTCATCCCTACTGTTCACAACAGTAAAACTCAGAAACAATGAACAAAATCTTTTTTAGCAGTATAGGTAGGACAGACATATGAAAGTAATTCCTCATAGAACTGTGGCTATGCTGAAGGCTACTGGATTACACATCCTGGAAGGGGTTAGACAACTTCATAGCTCTATTGAGGGCTATTTGTTTTGGTAACTAACACAAATCTCCAGTATCCATTTGAATGCCAGTCATTGAGGGGCAGTGGGAATGGCTGATGGCTCCATGTCCAGCTTGTGGGTTTTGCAGGAGCATTGTGCTGTGGGAAATGAAAAGTGGATCAGATGCACAGTTTCTCTAATTCAGCTGAGGCCTTGTTATGTTCACAGGCACATTACTGTGATGAATCCAGATGTTGTACACTGAAGCATTCTCTTCTAAAACAACAACTGGTGTTCTTTGCAGCCTGTTAACAAAGTTCTACCAGCACATCCTGGCCTTGGTGTTTGCCATCCATGAGATCAATGAGAATCCCAGCATATTGCCCAATGTCACTCTTGGGTTCCATATCCATGACTCCACCATAGATATAAAATGGATTTACAGGACCACCCTGGACCTACTCTTCACATCACCTGAACTCATCCCAAACTACAAATGTGGCTCTCAGAAAAAAATGATTGGTGTCATTGGGGGACATAGTTCTGAAATCACATCAAACATAGCAACACTCTTAACTCTTTACAAGATCCCACAGGTAAGATCGGAGAACTGGGATTATATGGACTTTTACAAATATCTCCTGTAGTTTAATCACCTCTGCCAATCTGTTATCAAGGGTTGTGAAGAATAAGAAATATAACCGAAAAATAAGGGGAGAGGTAAAATATGTTAAGTTGCATGTAGGTGTGACATGGACCTTGAAATGACAGTTGTCAGGAAGGACTCCAAAGGATGTGTGTTGAATATTCAGGTTGAATCTGTTCATGTGATGGGCGGAGGGGTGTTAGAGTACTTCATTCTGTTTAATGAATGGGTGCTGATTTGATTTCCTCACCAATACTATCTACTGGATAATTCTTCATAAGTACAATGATCACTGTTTCTATTGTGGTAGCTACTAAAACTGGAAGGAAAGAAAGATTGCATGGAGAAGGAAATGTAATTGATTCACACAACTCTGGTCACCTTTGTCTGTGAATTTTGGCTTCTCAGACTGAGAACAACATTCCTAGAACACAATATTTTTGTTTTCCCTCTGAATCCACTTGGAACATGAAGACTAAAGGGGTCTGGTTCTTCTGGGATACTGCTGAAGAAGTGAAAACAGCTTCCTGAGTTAAGTTTATACATTTGGGTGGGCTCTGAATGGTGTGAACGAAGAACATTATCGAAAGGAAGGGGAAATGAAAGAGAGTTTTTTTTCCCCTTTATTAACCGTATGCTCCAACTTCTAAAATATATATTTTACACGTGCTCTTCTTGAACCTAATTCGTTTAAGGACAGAATCTTGCCCATAAGAAAGGGAACTGCTGGATTTTACATGGAATATAGCCTTGCATTAAATGTGATGTTGAAACCAAGGTTTTGTTTCACTCATCACAATTAGTCAGAAAGAACTGACATTTTAGCATTAAAAAGTTACTTGTGTAGGATCAGTCAGCATCACTGTGAGGCAAGGAAGGAAACAGGCATACTTGGAAACGATCCCCCAAAACACCTCGCGAAGGTCAAAAATATTTACTGGGTTGTAAAAACGCTATTGTCAACAGAGCTATCTCTTTGATTTGGAAGACAGCTTCATTTGACACATCATTAACAGTCCATACAACTCCACACAACGAACAGTGAATGTGAATCCAAGAGAAGAGGTGCTCATCACCGTTTATTTGGCTTCTTCCATCCTCCTCTCTGTGTATAGATGAGCATGCACTTATTCTCCTGACCACTTTTACGTCTCTGATTATACATCCGTACGCACAGCATGAACACAGAAACCATGTAATAATCAACACAGGAATACATGAAGTTTCTTCTTGTGAATGTTGATCAGGTGGAAAAAGAGATGACCTGCTAAATTGTATCCTCTCAGTCACCCTCTGAGCCCAACTTGGCTTTGTCCAACATGGCTTGGAACTAGGGTATCTTCTCCAACATAATCCTGGCCAGGAATTTCAATTACAGAGAGAGGCCCTCCTGACTCCCACCATTCAAGGAAGCTCATCTCGTGGGCACATGAGAGAGGGTCTTTTCAGTGGTAGCCCCATGATTAGGGAACAACCTCCTAGGGAGATACACCTGCCACTCCTTCACTGTCACTCTCTAGAAAACAACTGAATGCAGTTTCATTTAGGCCTCATTTTACTAATTTGATCCTTTAGTTATTGAGATTTAAATTTGTGGTCATTATGTGTTTTTTTTATAATACTTGTTTTAGTGACATTATAAACTACCTTGAGTACTGCAAGTTGAAAAGATGGCTAATAGTTTTTAAAAAATAAATTAAACAATTCCAGACAATATTACTAGTAAAAGGAAGAAATATACAGATGAAGAACATGTGCAACAGTCTGGAAAGCAGAATTGTATTTTATGCAATTTATGTAGGGGATTCAATATGTTCATGATCTGGGGTAACATTTAAATATTTTTCAAAAGAAGAACGTGATGAATAGAGTTAAGTATTCCTATTATCCTTCTGTAATATGATTTCCCCCCCTCCTTTATTAGTTATCATTTGGCTCATTTGAATCAGACGTGGACGGCCCAACCAGTCTCCCTTCCTTTTACCGCATGTTCCCAAAGGAAGCCCTCCAGTATGAGGGAAGTGTCCAGTTGCTAATACTTGTTTTATTCACACTATGTCGCCTTGAGTACTGCAAGATGAAAGGATGGCTAATAAGTGTTCTAAATAAATAAAACAATTTCAGACAGTTTTACTAGCAGAAGGAAGAAATATGCCAATGAAGAACATGTGCAACAGTCTAGAAAGTCAAGATGTATGTTGTACAATTTATGTTGGGGATACTATAGGTTCAAGATCTGGCGGAACATTAAAATACCTTTTAAAAGAAGAGGGTGATATATAGAGTTAAGTATTCCTATTATCCCTCTGTAACATGATTTTTTCCCCTTATTAGTTGTCATTTGGCTCCTTTGAATCAGGTTTGGATGGCCAAACAAATATGCCTTCCTTTTACCGCATGTTCCCTAAGGAAGCCCTTCAGTACGAGGGAATTGTCCAGTTACTTCTGCACTTCAGGTGGAAATGGGTGGGGCTCATGACTCTGGATGACAAAAGGGGAGACCATTTCTTGCAGACTTTGGAGCCGATGCTCTCCAGGAATGGAATCTGTGCAGCCTTCACAGAAAAGGCTACAAGACAGATCCAGTGGGATGACATAGGTTTTATGCTGAAATATCTTGACAGTAGTAATGCAAATTTCTTGGACAGCAAAGCCAATGCAATTATCGTAGATGGAGGAACTGGAACATTTATTTGGCTGGCAACTATTATCTTTATGCCAACAATTTTAATGAAACTAACAGAGGCTGAATATGTGGAGAGAACCTCTGCAGGAAAGGTGTGGATTACGACAGCCCAGATTGATTTTGCATTCAACCTTTTTCAAAAGGCATTTGATATAGGAATATTCCATGGCGCTCTTTCCTTCTCCATTCATTCCAAGGACATCCTGGGCTTCCAGAAATTTCTGCAACTTTTAAAACCTTCCAGGGCAAAGGGGGATGGTTTTATCAAGGACTTCTGGGAGCAAGTGTTTGAGTGTGTATTACCAGGTTCCGCTAACCCAGGAAAGTCTGGTGAGACATGCTCTGAAGAGGAGAGCCTGGAGACTGTCCCAGCACCTTTTTTTGACATGAGCATGACTGACCACAGCTACAGTATATATAATGCTGTCTATGCCATTGCACATGCCCTGCACATCTTGGACTCATCTAGAACGCACCACAGAGCAATGTATAATAGAGATAGCTTGGCTTCTCTGAATGTGCCACCTTGGAAGGTAATTACTCTTCACTGGACAGGGACAAACAGGGTTCAATATGTTGGCAAGAGTGGGGCAATGGGATTTAGCCTTTTTTCTTGCCCATTTGAGAGTCAGAAAGTCACCTAGCTCTCATGGGTCTTCTGTCCAGTGAGGCTGCTTCTTTCCTCTACTCCTGAATGTCCCTATTCTCTGCATATTGATGCCATCATCAAGTCATTACAGGCACTTTCACACACACACCAAATACCACACTTTCAATCCACTTTGCAACTGGATTTTACAGTGTGAAATGGCCAAATCCACTTGCAAATAGTCACTGAAGAGGATTAAAACTGCATTCTTTAGCATGTCCAAGAACGCCCTACAACAAAGGGTATTCTGTCCTGGGACTGTTTGGTTCAATATCTTTATAAATAATTTGGATGAAGGAATAGAGAGAATGCTTATTAAATTTGCATATGATAATAAATTGGGGGTAGCAAATATGGTGGAAGACAGAGCCAGGATACAGGATAATCCTGACAGGATAGAAAACTGGACTGAAAGAAATAAAATGAATTTCAATGGCACTAAATGTAAAGTTCTATATTTAAGTAGGAAAAATCAAATGCATAATTATAGAATGGGGGAGACTTGTCTTGGCAGTAGTATGTGCAAAAAGGATCTAGGGGTCTTAGTAAACCATGCACCAAACACGAGTCAGCAGTGTGATGTGGTAGCTAAAAAGGCAAATGCCATTTTGGGCTGTATTAACAGAAGTATAGTATCCACATCACATGAAGTGATGGTATCACTTTACTCTGCTGTGGTTAGACCTCACCTAGAGTATTGTGTTTAGTTTTGGGCACCACAACTTAAGAAGGATATTGTCAAGCTGGAACGTGTCAAGAGGAGGTCAACAAAGATGGTAAGGGGTCTGGAGATCAATTCTTATGAGGAACGGTTGAAGGAGCTGGCAGGGCCAGCCCCAGCTTATTTTGCACCCTAGGCGAGGATCCCTTCTGGCGTCCCCCCCCCTGTGCACCCACCAGAGGGGACCGGGTAACCCTAAAACCACTGGTGTCAATGGGATTTGAAAGGTTTTACTCTGTTTAGGACTGCATGGTAAATCACAATTTCAGGTTGAAATTATGTGGAATATATTTTATGGCAGTTGTTCAGTATCTGAGATGTGTACCGGTTCAGGTTTTCAGTTATCCCACATCCACCTAGTCTCTTGGAAAAGCTTGTGAGTATCCTGCTGATGTTTTGCTAGCCAGAGTTGAGATGAAAAGCAAGCCTGAAAGCTGCCAGTCGCTCTCCATGTATATCAAATCTGTTTCAAAACACCAGGCAAGGAGCAATAGAAATCTAACATAAGTAAGATAGCCTTGTCAGTTTTGATACACACTTCATTTAAAGACTACTCCCTTTCTAAATGCAAGTAGACGGCACTATTAGGTGTTACATATTTCCTACAAGTCACCAACAATTCACAAGTTTGTTATTACAATTTGAACAAATCCAAAATCCTGGGATACTAACCACCTAAATTCTGGCAAATTGCTGAGCATTTGACCCATCTTTATTATACTTAGGATCAAGGCAACACATTTTTATTAGTGTAATGTATTGAAAACGATTACATGAATCACCTCATTGAACTCCCATGTTAAGCTTAAAGCCAAGCCAGGGCTCCACTGAACAAACGTCCTATTGGTCGCTCTGTAACAGCGACCAATCAGAACTGCACTATTTCCCTGCGAGGGAAAGACTATCATTGGTCTTTATCCTAATAACCTTATTGGTTACTTTTGTAAATAGGCGTGGCTATGTTAGCCCGGGAATGTTTAAAAGGAGCCTAG